GAGTTTGTGTGGCCTACCACTTCACAACTGAACTTGCTTCCAGATGCTCTGACTTCCATCATCTCTTCACTTGCGGTTGACCAGGATACCTCTAGCAAGACAGATATGCGGTGAATTGACTTGTTGGAGAGATGGAGTCATATGACGACGCCAAGTGGAAAGTCACTAACCCCTCACCACTCATTCCGCTACTAATGTTTTCCTGCAGGAGATCATGTGACTGTGTGCTTAATTATACACTTTTGTCAGCAATGGGCATGGCTTAATTAGGCAATTTCTCTAATTAATAGAGGAGGCCACATACTTTTAACCATACGGCGTATTTCTAAGACAAGATCCATAAATCACTGTCCTCTGCTTTTGAGCATCTATTTCTCAGTGATCCAACTCATATTCAAAGGTTCGGCTCAATTGCTTCTCTATTCCTCTGATGTATTTCCACTGCAACCATTTCAATATCATTTCAATTGCATATTAATAAGAATATATTCAATATATCACCCAAAAACTAAAACAGGCAGATTTCTGCAGTCATTCATTCTCTGGTGCAATTTCCAAACATTAAAATTTCATTGTATATTCATGCTGGGGATTGGATTTCTTCTCTCCCTTTTCGTTATTGACTGGGAAAGCAGAATGGGCTGCTGCTTTTCAGCGAAATGCACGGAAATGCTGAGACAACGAAGCACCGACACGCCAAGGCACAGACAGCGAAACACACTCATGAAAATTCACCAACGTACTAATAAACAAACTGGCTGAAGCACAGAAACGTCACTGTCAGGTAATTTACCTTTTCGTCATTTAAGATTCAGTGATGTTCAGTTTCCTTTTCTTTCACAAACACACACAATCTCCAGGAAATACATCCCTGCTACACGGAAGCATTGGTCAGCATGAGTTACTGAAACTGGGAACACTGGGGTGGAACAAGGAAGGCCAACTGATGAATTGGCAAAGGGGTTATGGGCACCCAAGCCTCTCTGATGCATGTGGGGATTGAAGGCTAACCTGTCCTGTCCAATCCTAGAGCAAAGCTACTGTAGCAGAAATTGTTGAAAAGCTAATACTGGCTATGACAGAAAGGTGTCAGAATACAATGCACTACAGCAAGGGTGGGGAATCTGATCCATGGAGAGCCGGTTCGGGTTTGTGGGATGACCTCTCAATTAGCCAATAACAGTGGGTCCCCAGGACTGGAGTTGAGAACCACTGTTTTATTATTGGCTGACTGAGAGGCCATCGCAAAAACCTGCACCCACACCGGCCCTCCATGGATCAGATTCCCCACCCCTGCACTACAGCTTTCTGCATATGGGGCAACAACAAGTGCCGAAAGTGGCATCAAAATGGGGCAACAACAAGTTGAAGTGATGGCACCAGGATATACTATGAGAAAAGGTGGAGGCAGTATGATGCTCTGGTCCATGTCCTGCTAGAAAACCGTGGGTCCTGGCATTCATGTAGATGTTACTTTGACATCTACCTAAACATTGTTGCAGACCTACCACACCCCTCGATGGCAAAGGTGTTCCCCGATGGCAGTGGCCTCTTTCAGCAGGACAATGCACCCAGACACACTGCAAAAATTGTTCAGGAACGGTGTGAGGAGCATGAAAATGAGTTCAAGGTGTTGACTTGGCCTCAAAACTCCCCAGATCCCAATCTAATCTAAATCTGTGGAATGTGCTGGACAAACAAGACTGATCCACAGGGGCTCCACCTCGCAGCTTACAGGACTTAAAAGATCTGCTGCTAACGTCTTGGTGCCAGATACCACAGGACACCTTCAGAGGTCTTGTGGAGACTGCGTCTAGACTGGTCAGAGCTGTTTTAGGTGGTTCTAATGTTATGGCTGATTGGTGTAATCGTTTAATTACGATGAAATATAACAGGTTATAGTATGTATTTGTCAAGTATTCAGTATAATGTTTTACAGATGCTCCTTGCTTTAAGATGGTTTGATTTACAATATAAGCGATATCGATCCACACTCAGTAGCCATCCGACCAAACTCTGAATTTTGATCTGTTCCCGGGCTAGTGATATCCCGTACGATACTTTTTACCGATCCCGGGCAATGGCAGCATCTATGCAGCCACGCTTCCAGTCTCTGTAGCAATTGTGAGCGTAAACATCTGATACAGTGTTTAACAACATATCGCGTAGTTATTTATTTATCATATCATATTCGGCTTACGATATTTTCTATTTACGATGGGTTCATCGGAACATAACCCCATTGTAAGTTGAGGAGCATCTATATATGTATCTGTGTTCTCTCACCTATTGTAGTAATGTTTGGGTTCTTGAAAAGCACTGTATAAATGAACTGTATTACTATTATTAAGAGCAGCATGTAAGAGTGGTGTCCTGGCTCAATCCTCAGTCCTCCAGGGTTGTGTGTCCACCTCCTGCCCTATGTGGTTGTGTTTATGCAGAATCTGCATGTTCTCTCTTGTTTGTACTTTATTCCACGCTTCATGCCCCTTTGGATGCACTCCAGACTCACCACGACACTGTACTGAATAAGCAGCTATGGATGTTTTTCATGAATACAGATAGAATCACTATATTTTCATCATGTTACTTTCCACACTGTACACTGCAGTATATAATATTTCTGATTTATCTCCCTTTTTTAATGAAGTGCTACAGAAAATAAACCAGGCTCCTTCAGACTGAAGATGATAACACTCTTCTTGGTGTAGAGTGTATCCCATACAGTCACCGGCAATTGAAACCACATACAGTCCTACCTATGCTTATATGAAGGGAATGTAATTATTCTGCACAGACAAAGGACACAAACTTAATCAAATCACCAGCAACACATCAAGAACATAAGGTAACCAATTAAATCTGTCATTTGCGAAAAAAGACCCCACAGTCACGGAAGAACTGTTTCCATTTGCTGCAGTGTAATTTATGGATTTTATAATTTTCCACCCTGCTGATCCTTCATTCTCGTCATTGGCTGCATTTCCAATCATAAACATGAATCATACAGAGTGGTCTCCATAAGTATTGGCACAGTGGAGTCAACGTTGTGATTTTTTTTTTTGCAAATTAGCTGCCTGGATTTCAGAAGAATATTTTGAAGCACAGAGACTCTGACTGGAAGTGGAGAGTAAATACTGAGATAAATAAAAATGTCAGGACAGGGGGCCAAAGGTTCACTTTCAACCCCAATATTGTATGTCTGGAATTTACTCATCCTTATTGGATTTTCCAGATTTTCTCAATATACTGTGGTTTGTCTGCAGTCCAAATACATGTACAAATACGGAAATTAATCAGTATCACCAAATTGTGTGCGGGCCCTGCAACAGGTCTCCCGCCTTGTGGTTAAGGTTTCCTAGAATAGGCTCTGTTTGGCTATGTACTGGGTGAGCAGTGAGGGAAGATGGATGGGAGAATTTGGCTGCATCCCACCCCCTTGCACGCAGTATCTGCATTGAACCTGCAGCCTCCTGTGACCATCTCTGGCAAGCTTTTACTGTAGCGATTTTTGGGATGGGGCATTGCCTCCGGTAAAACACACACTGGACCTGATCCGTATCAAGATATTGAAAAGTTTTATGCTGACTGTCTATCCTGTCATTCTCGGTGGCACTGCCTGTAAGCCTCCTGCTGCACTGTAAAATGCTGCCCATTGAGCATGGGGGCCTTTTTCTTGGCCAGCGGACGCTCCAGCCGTTCTCCCGCATCATCGTCATTAATTACCTCACCAACAGAGACGAGGGAGCCAGTGTGACGGATGTTCCAAACCCACCTGCTTTTACGCCCTTATGCTGCAGTTTTCGTTTCCTGTGTCCCATCAGAGCTAACGCCTGATCTGACCTTTCTGTCTCAGCACCCATAAGGCATTTCGCTCCCATGATTATCCTGCGGCAGTGATTTGTGACCCATGGCTAATCGATAACTGTATGTCCAGTCATGTTTCTGACACCACAGACAGGATACCAGCTCATACCAAGTGACTAACGGCAAACAGGAAATCTGGAGTCAATATTTCACGAGTCACGTAGCTTTTAATTGTGGGAGAAACACACGAAAACTCCGCATAAAGAGACCGGACAGCCGCAGGAGGCTTCAGCAAAAAATGCTGAGCCAAGCATACTTAAAACATAAACGCCCAGCAATGTGACAATTATGCTATAAATTTAACTTTATTCAAGTTTCTTCCCTAATTGAAAGACCTGAAGTAGACAAAAAAATAACACAACTTCACTGTATCCAACACTTGATTCCATAACTTGCACAAAAACCAACGAAGCTGAATAGACGACAGCTTCTCAGTCATACTATATTCATATAGGACATTAGTTATACTAAAGTCGAATTATTTTTGGCCAAATTCTGTATATGTTTTTGAAATCTTATAATACAACGATTTTGCGTTTACAACCCATAACGTAAATGTGTATATTGCGTAAACAAATAGAGGGTCATACACCAAAAGTACTCCAAAACTTACTAATATCTGGTACCGTGGCATCAAACATTGTTGCACCGTTCCCTTTCATTTTAGTATAACCTGTCATGCATAGGTATTGTATGTCAGACGAGCTAGAAAATAAATGCTTATTTCATTCGTTAATATTAGTCAATCTACAGAGCAGCAAAGTGCTTTTGGACGGGTTCATTCCTACGCTTAATACGATTCATGTAAGCTTAAAGAGGCGCTACGATCGTCAATCATGCAATGAGCCCCATCCTGCGTCCCGCTATCGCATTGTCCAAAGCGGACCGCACATGGACTTTCCAATTGCGGCGATTTCTCTCCTACGATGATATATATATTTTTTCTTATTTTACCCCCCGAACGGAAACTGCGGGCATTAGGTTCACCTTAGTCCGCAGCTGTATAATACCGAAAGGAATGAATGAACAAAGAACGGTCACACCGCCAGCACCGAGAATGGGGAAGGGGGGGATTACTTTATGACTAATTAGAAACATGTTTTCAGATACAATTAACAGAGCGTATAACTTACCCGCTATGACGCTGCAGGAAAGGAAAAGCGTTTGCATGTCGGTGGTCGATGCCAGAGAGTAATGCAATACGTAGTTGGTCGGGAGGTATTGTTTTATCAAATAGGGTACCGGGTATTAATAATTTAGCGCGGTTGTCGGCTTCTCTTCTTGTGGATGCCTGCGATGCATCACCGTTTTAAAAACGATTATTTCTGTTGCACAGCTCTAAATACCCGGAGGTGAGGAAGCCTGAGACGAGCTGCCGGCTCACGTTGCGATCTGCAAATGTGCGCAGGGCACCGACTTATTGTGCAATATTAGAGTAAACGTCTGTCGCATACATTCAATTTTTAACAGTTTTTAAAAAAATAAGAAATACAAGAAAAAAAGGCAAGCGGCCGGTGGGAGTTATTGCTCTTTCCGCTTCGGGATGATTGCTCTCGCTGATCAGTACCTGCACCTTTTTGTTGTCGGGTCTTGCCGCGCTTTGCTGCGGCTCCCCCAGTTTCTCAGTTATCAGCCCGGCAAATGCGCCGATTTTAATTCAATGTTTGCGCAGTGTCTTTGCGCAGGCACCAAGGTGCGACGCCAGCAAGCATCTGATCCCGGGTCCTAAACACTGTCCGCGCCGGTACGACCAGCACAGACACCTGCGCACCCTAAAAAACGAATTTCAAATCAAATGCAGAACTTAAACTTAAAATTTTGGATACAATTACCGTTTGAAGTTAAGCCTTTTCCTCTCTCCCCAGATGTAACGCCAGCATTAATATCAACTTGATGACAAGGTATACGTTCCAAGCAGATTCCTTTCAAATAATTGCTTTCGGAAATATGTACTGTAATTATAATAGTCAATTAGTTCATTGTTCCGTAAATTGTCCAGTTTTATCCGTGTATAGGGCATAATTTAATTTATGTCATAACACTAAATATGGGCTGTTTTGCTCTAAGGCATCAAATCTATGCTTATTAAGTTACCTAAATCATTTCAACAGCTCAAGGAGGACATTCAAATTGGGGAACAAAGATTACACATCAACATTAACTTTAATGATATTGCAAAAGGATGAAACATGTAGCGTTTTTTTTCCCCTGAAACCAGATAAACTCATCACTCATGTTCCACACAAAACATGACCACTTAACGAAGTACAGATCAACCTTGTGTTATTCACAATGACTCATGTCACATCTTAAATGGCCAGATTATGGCCAGGTGACCTATTAGGAATAAAACCTATTAGCAGAATCCGAGACGAGTACAGTATGTACATACTGATAAGTCAGCTCAAACGTTTCTGTCCACGCAGTCTGCATGTCATCTTGCATAGCGTGACCCAGACAAATATATACAGAAGCAAGCTGGAGGAAGCGGGCAGGTTCCTGTTGCCGTGAACACTCAGAATTGCTGCAAGATGAGCTTCTTCTTGGTGTCATGAGAGAATTTGTTGGTGCGGAAGAGGTCACTGTCATAGAAAGCTGATAAGTTGTGGATGCTGATCTGTCTGGCCTAGGATGGGAAAAAAGGAATTATATCAATGAAACCACATTTCTCCATCCAACAGCCAAAAATGACATCTAATCTGCTTTACTGGCTAATCTAACACAGAGGAAGTATTTCACTGCTGTTTAGAGAGCAAAACATCTGCCCTGAAGAAATGTATGCCACTGTAAAACCAATTCCAACATGTGTAAAACTACTGTGAATTAATACTGCTGGATTAGCATTTCAGCAGCTTTACAGCCGCAAACTCATTGGCTCTTACGTACCTTGTCCGCAAGATCCTTCTCAGGGATCTCGATCGTGTCCTGCTGGGCTCCATATCGGTTTCGCTGGTACGTCACTTGCTCTGCAACCAGCTGCTTCAGGATGAACAAAAGTAGCTCGTTGTTGTCCCGTCTGAAGGCCAGGTACCGGGCGAATGTCTGCGGCAGGAGTAGATGGGTTAATTACAACCAAAAATGGAACATCTTTGGGACAAGCCAAGAGGATTAAGGACTTCCAGTCAAATTTAATTAGAGTTCTGTTGACCTTCAAATGGAGCTGGAAATAAATTCAAAGACATCGCACCTTCCTCATGCTCCTCATGACACTGTACTTCTGCGTGTCGATGAAACTCTCCAGCATGACGCGAATGGCCATGTTGACATCATCCTCCAGGACATAATCCCGCAGGTGCATCCTTGCGTGAGCCTCCGCCATGCGGATCATAGACTCGATGTGTCTCACGGTGATAGGGATGCTGCCTGTGGCCTGACATAAATAAAAAGACAGACATGGTGAGCAGATATGGCCGCCTTCCTCATCAACCACAGTATCGATGTAGTCAGGTGACACACACACTGTAGTATTCCACGATAAGTTCTTAGAACATTTCCTATCTGTTCTTACCCAAAGAAGTTCATTCTGATGGATGTATACGTTTATTTTTTATTCCCAGGCTAATTTGGAACCTTCTGACCCATCATATGCAGCACTTAATACAAGACAGTCTCTAAATACAATGAATTAACTGCACATCAGACCTAATTTTGCAGGGTGGTGGTCTGGACTGAAGCAGTACTCAGACCCACTGAGCATTTTCAGCTCTCCGGTAGGTTCTCACCATGGACTCCTTACGCAGGTCACTGTAGATACGGGCCACCTTGTCCTGGTCCATCTGGTTGAGCTTGGGCCGCACGCGCTCCTTGGCATATATGATATATTTCTTCAGCAGCTCCTGAGGGATGGGCGGCACATCCGAGGTGTTGGGAAGGACCACCTCCTCGAGTCCAGCCATACCCCCTTCTTTGTTGCTGGGGTGGTGCTTAAGATGGCTACCCACCACAAAACGGGCCAGCATCTCATCCTTGGAAATAATGAAACAGAACTGCCTTAAGTTTTTCCAATAGTTATGAAAAACCATGCTGTGCATCAACAAGAACATCTACAGTCTTACCTGCACTGGGTCCACGGTATCTCTGACCACGCACAAGACGTCAAATCGGGACACGATGGGCTCCGTCAAGTCCACATTCTCCGAGAAGGTAAGAGAGGGGTCATAACGACCACCTACAACAAAAGGACCACAAAGACGTTTCAATGAAACAGTAAGGATTTCATAAAATTAAACAAATGTTTTTGAAGGTACAAACCAATGGGATTGGAGGCAGCGATGACAGTGCATCGAGCTTGGAGGGAGGTGACGATTCCAGCCTTGGAGATAGAAATGCTTTGTTGTTCCATGGCCTCATGGATACTGGTCCTGTCCTGGTCATTCATCTATGATGTATTGCAAAAAAGTGTTCATTTTTGTTGCATCTTGAACAGGAAAGCTCAAGAAAGTTATTTTCACTATCCAGATCTTTCTAGAATTTCCAGCCATTTGTTACTTAGCACCTGCTCACCTTATCAAACTCATCAATGAGACAGACCCCACGGTCAGCCAGCACCAGAGCCCCGGCCTCCAGCGTCCACTCCCGGGTGACGGGGTGCCGCTGAACGTAGGCCGTGAGACCCACGGCAGATGCCCCTTGGCCTGTGGTGAACACAGCTCGACTCGCCACCTTCTCAACATACTTGAGGAACTGCGACTTGGCTGTTCCAGGGTCCCCGCACAGCAGCACGTTGATGTCCCCACGGACCTTATGCTTCCCACCTGGCGGGATAGCAAGTTAGCGGGAGATGCTAAGGGACAACAGCATGAGACATTTACCTTATAGCTTCTCAACTATGGGATACACAGCACACTACGCTACTGCTACAACAGTGTCAACCTCTTTTCAATCCTACTGAATCATCTTTGATGCCAACAGTTAGGTTTAATAAGAATAGATACATTAGTACCTAATGGATAAGATTGTGCAAGAAGAAGATGATGCTATATAAACTCACCAGGGTTCTTTGGTTCCCCACCAAAGAGAGCCAGAGCAAGTGCCCTCTTGATATCCTCATGGCCATAGATGGAAGGACCAATACTAGCAAAGATCTGAGAAGATGGAAGGAGGAAATGACCGACCCCTATAACCATAGCAGGATGAAATCAGTGGGTCGGACTTAGGGGGAACCTGCCTTACCCTCTCGGCGATGCGCTCGTCCTTGGAGAGTGCCACTATGGCCTTCACGTCCTCGTCTGTCAGCTCCGTCACGACTACGCCTTCATCCTTCCGAGTGATGTGATTGGCCATGATCACAGTGGCGAACACTGGAAAGCCATTGGCCACATTCAGAGAGCCGTCGTAGTTGTTGTTGTAGATTCCAGTCAGCTCCTAATAAGGCGGGGATTGGAACACATTGAGCTCACATCCGAAAGCAGAAGCACCAAGCAACCGCTGCAGATGTCTGAGCACAGGGCTGGTAGTACAGTGGTTGATGATGGGTTATGCTGTTGAACAACTTAGTCCTTAACCTGAAGTTCAACTAATCAATTGAGTTGATCTTTGATTTCAAAGCAGGGAGTCAAACTGGAAACTGGATTTTGTGTACAGGAATGGAAGCACTGCAGTGGTACTCACAATCTCATCACCGGGTTTACAGCTGTCCACCAGGTCAGCCAGCAGGATCGCATCCTTGGAGCGTGGGAGTCGACCAGCAGCCACCTTGCCGGGGCTCTCCTGGATCGTGATTCGCTGGTAGTTCTGGTACACGGTCTGTGAGATCGGTGGTGGGCTTAAGTTTAATGCCAAATCAGCAACAATGGCTATATCATGGCAAAAAGGTCAAACAAATCATCTACAGCGAGAAATTTAAAACAGGAAAGATATGAACAAAAACAGAATTTCCGCAAGATTCTTTAAATTAATGTCTCATAAAAATTCCAAAACTTTATGGGGGTGGTACCTTATTAAAAACACCCATCGGTGCCTTGTATTACACAGAGCATAACATCAAAATAAAATGCGTTTCACTGACAAGGCCGGATCACAAAACAGACAAGTCAGGGGCTCTTTGCCTTTTAATAAAGAGTCATGTGTAAATGTAGAATGACCTATACGGCGTCTGGTATCAACTGTTTGATCAGGTCTTGTTTGAAAAGAAAATCATGGTCTCTTAAGGGCAGAAGGATTCATTTCATGCGATTCCTTTACAGCACATTCATCCAAGTCAGTTTGCCACTTACTACAGACATAGGATGCCAACACAGGTCTGAGATCCGAAACTGGGATTTGATACGTAGCGAGGTCTGCATTAAGAGCTCTCTTAGCGGCACTGTCCGCTTTCTCATTACCCATAATGCCAACACTATTTATGGACCGTGTTCTGGTACCCAGCTCGGCAGAAATATGGGAAGCCGGCGTTTGCTGAACCTAAGCCAAAATCTTCCTGCAGATGCCCCAGGCTGTTTATTCCATGCAGGCTTTGACTGGTCTATCAGACCAACATGTCAGACTGTGCTGGAACACATTTGGAAATGTGCTACATAAACACTGCATGAGACAAGACTAAGGCCAACAAGCTTCCCAGGCGAAACTCAACAGCAACATAACATGTTCAGAGTAACCGAAGCCACTGATGGACGACTGACCTGCTCCATGTTTATCTCGAATGGGCCAAGCGATTGGCACTCAGGACAGGAACCGGGCTTGACCTCCTGGTTCTGGGACTGGAAGAAGGGTCCGAGGATGAAGTTACACTTGTTACAGTTGTACTTGACCATTCCCAGCTGGGGCAGAACTCCTGTGCAGCAGGTGACCACTCCACTGGTCCGGATCAGCTGGTTCAGGTGTAGCTGTCTGAGGAAGGGGACAGACAATGCCCATGAGATGGATCTAGGGAAAGAACGTGACTCAACAGGTTTGACTCCCATGCCCATATCCGGAAGGTTTTGGGTTTAAAACTATTGACTGCAGAGTTCTCTTTTATCCAAGGTGACCTACAATGCGGAAAGCAGGGTCAGACAGTCCCCACATCAAATGGGGGTTAAGGGTTCTACGGTGATATTCACTCTGCCAAGCCAGGGATTTGAACCGCAAGGCAGCTTATCCCACTGAGCCACACAATGCCACCCAGTGGTTGTGGGGCGTTACTGCATTACACAACAGAAGAACACCGGGCTAGAGCCAACAACATGCTGTTTTACATACTTTAACTGCCGGCTGGCAACTTTATTACACTTCATCTTCTCAGTGGCCCGCAATCACAACCTGACAGCCACCGCTGAGGGGACCTCAGTCACGCCGCTGGACGTTCCTGCTAACCGTGTGTAAGAGGTCCTCCCCAGCAGCTACTGCAGCGTTTTAGAGACTGCGGCACGCAGATCAATGCAATGAGCCCCAGTTTGCCAACACTCGCACTGCGCAGTCATGTGATTGACGCGAGCACTGAATGCAGGACACAAGATTTACGAACGCTTGCAGACCGAGTGAATTCCTTAGCCGGCAGCTGGAGACGACTGCAAGCGCAACGAAGGCCTGACGCCTGCCTGAAGCGCAATAAGAGCCAGAGCAGCCGCCTTTATCCAGACAAACTGGTGCAGCCTGATGGTTCATCAACACAAAGCAGCCTGTGCTCCCAAAGGGAGATACTTTAGATTAGATTTCATCAAAACAAGCACTGAAATTTAAATATAATAAGATGCCTGAGGAGGCATGTTAAATTACCATAAGTATCATATTTTTTTGTCAGCTTCAGATATATGATGCATGGAATCACGCATGGAGATTAAATATCGTTCTCGTTAGTCACAGTACGATAGAGAAGCAATAAACAGAATAGAAATACTGAGACATTTAGACATAATATAAAAATGACATTTTAAACCAAAGACATTAAGACAGTTAACCACCTGATTGGTAGAAAAAGTGCAAATTTGGCATAGAGTAAGACATACAATAAATAAATACGTTTAGATTTAGAGTTATGACTGGAGATCAACCAAGGAATACAATATAATATGTGTGTGTGTGTGTGGGGGGGGGGGTGTTGATATTGCCAAAAGCCTGTAATTAAGTGCCTGGGTCCAGCCCCCCGTTACCTGAGGGACCGCAGCTCCTCCACCAGGGGTAGGTTGCAGATACGGACGTGGATCTCGTGGGCGATGCGGTTGTACTTGGGGTACATGGCCAGCACCACCTCTTTGGCCGCTTCATCAAAGATCTTCAGCATCTCCGTGGGCGCCTCTGGCAGGAAGTAGGCCAGCACGTGCTCCCTGGCGGCCAGGTCCTCGTAGTTCACCACCAGGCTCTCCTTGTTCTCTGTGGAAGGAGGGACAGAATTCAGAAGAGCTTTAGATCTCTCAGAGGTAAAACACAACCCACACCCTGTAAGACGACCACAGGGACAGCGAGTTAGTTGTCAGCACTGCAGCCTCAAGTCTCCAAGGCTCTGGGTTTGATTCCCACCCCGAGATCTGCGCATTTGGCATTTACAGGTTATACCCATGTTCATGTGGGTTTGGCCTGGGTTCTTCCTTCCACAGCACAGAAGAATGCAGTTAGGTCATTAAATTGCCCACAGTAGGCATGTTGCGAAATTAACTGGCTTTGCAACCAGGGTGTGTCCTGTACCTCCTGGGACAGGTTACAGGCTCACTATAAGCAGTCATAGATCGATGGGATGGGATGGAATGGGATGGAATGGGATGAATGGCCTTACAAGATGGTTACACATGGGATCCACCAGGCCGCCCATATACACTACCTTTACACATGTCACTGATCTTCTCCTTGAAGACGTTGTGCCCGTGCTCATCTACATGTGTGCGCAGAAAGTTCTTGAAGCGGTGGTAGATCTCAAGTCGTGGGGCGGCCATGGACACCCATTCACGCACCGAGTGGCCCTTCATGTCCTCCAGGTTCTCAATGCTCTCGATCATCTCCTCATCCTCACCCTCGCCGGCCACCCCTTCGGCCGCTCGCTCCGCCAGACGACGCTTTCGGGCCGGCCGGTCTTCGTCCTCATCCTCGCTATCTGTGGACGGGACCACAAGACCCCAGTTACTGTCTGTTACCTGGACCCCTACACATGCACTCATCCAGGATTCTCTCTATTCAGGCAGACAATACGGTTCTCAAAAAAATGGATCAGAAGACTACAAGTTAAATACAAGCAGTGGTCCCTATCAGTTGAAATAATGCTCAGCAGAAGGTAGCAATAAGCTGTTGCATAATATTGAATGTTGGAAGACCAACTGTTGGGTCGCCCCCTAGTGGACGGGTGACCAGTATTTTTAAATTCCCTCTCTGAACTACTGACCCATTCAAACAAAAAAGGCTGTTTAGTGTAGAATAATTTCTTGACAAATACAATATACACATTTATAACTGCACAGATAACACAAAGAATTATAATATACAGTGTTTGTGTGTCAAATATCAAAATCGCAGTTAACATGACCACAGTTCTCAAAAGAGGCAAGAAACAGTAAGACGAGGCATATAGTCTAACGACAAAAACACGTTTATGCTGCTATTACCCGGCAAAAAAGGAAAGAAAATATGGTGAAACTCGTGTGAATAAAAACTGACAGCTACTATCATAAATAAAGGGGACAAATTCTGTTTTTATGACATTCCTAAAAGCAGGCCCCCCTCACCGTACAGCAGCCCCCTCCGATTTCGGCCCATCATCCTATCCTGAGCTGCCATGGCCGCCTCCGCCGCGGCTCGTGCCCCGGGGGACAGTTCGGACAGGTCCTCATCATCGTCCAGGCCCTCCAATTCATACTGGTCCAGCTGAGGAATCGGACGGTAGTCCCTGCACAGGAACAGACAAGCAGTTCAAGCAGTGTCTCCACCATTAAATCACATTCAAACACTTGAAAATAACATCAGTCTTGAGCTAAGTTTGGGGTGGGGGGGCTTTTGATAAATGTTCCCAGTATTTTGATTTAAACACATTGCCTTACACACATTACCATGCTTCTCCTTAAACTCCCCACCCCTGGACATACCACACAGCGCAGTTACAAGCATTACAGTCTTACAGAAAGATTACCTCTCAAAATCCCATCCTTATGGAAATAAATTTACATCTACAGCAACCGTGCCTGTCATGCCGATCTCATAATTTTATGAAATGCAAATCCATGTTCAGAGCTGCGAATGTTTACCTGTGGCTGCCGCTGGAGATTCAGAGCTTCAATCCGCATTTCACAATTATGAAGCCTAACTTACGATGTTCAGGTTGTGATTATGAATCACAGATTATGCATTTACATCAGCACTACGTTTACATATCACATTATGTGGGGAAAGTTACGTTGGAAGTGGCCAATAGGTTTTGATGAAGAAAAAATATAACTCATTGTGGTCAAGTTCTGATCAGCGCAAGCCAAATGGGGTAAAAATGGAAGCTACAGATTAAGAGTTAATGGAGCAGTACAATATATGCAATATAAGCAAGCTGAAATACAGAATAAAAATCTTCAGAATTAATATAATGATTTGTTACAGTAAAAACGGTGTAATGAATCAATGCTTGGAATCCAGGATGACTAAAATTAGTTTGAGTTATATGCCCCCAAACTGTGACAATGACATAACAGTAAGGAAGTGATTAGTAAGCACTGCAGATGGTGAGAGTCACTGATTCACATCGGGACCCCAGCAGAAATGTTCAAGATGTGACGTGCGCAAAAGCAGGCTCTCATATCTCCTGGTTCATACAACTTTTAGACGAATAAAACTGAGCCATCCGTACGTTTAAAAGTTAAATGTTTAGAAAAGCGCCAGATGGAAGTTTATTTGGTTCATAAAATTACCAGCTAGTTTTTGGGGCAAATAAGGATAACTAAGTCAGTAACTGGTTAAATAGTACATGTTATAATTTTGTTGTATTTCACCATTTTTTTACACCTCCAGACTGTATTCACCATTGCCCACCCCTCCCATCATACTGCTCTCCCCGCTGGGTCAGAACACCTGAAGTCAGGCTGTCACTATGGTTACGGCCAGTGCTGCTCCTGGCCCTGCACCTCCCTCACCGCGCCACGTCACATCACCAACATACTATAACGCAACACAGACGGTCCTGGGCCTGGTCTGCCCTGTCCACTGGCCAAGGTTACATAAATTCATTCATTACTTAGAAATGTGACCAATAGGTTTTGACCAATTTTATATTTAGATTGGTTCCCCCTCTCTAAACACACTCAGTATCCAGTTCTCCACTGCTGTCAGTGGCCAATTCCCAGGAAGTCCCTCGGCTAAGTCTCGCGGGAGTTGGAAGCGCTTCCGCGATGCACCGCATTCCATTTGTCGAATTGCACTACATGACAATAGGGGTGGATCGTACTGCAATCGTAGTTACTTCATATGTGTCTTTAATGTATCGAATCGCATCAGAGGTGACGCACATCCCTTGCCGGCAGCATCTACATACCCCTACAAATCGATTGCGCTTCAGCGGGTACAAACTGTCTGAACTCTCGTCATGAGAAAGTCTAGCGTGCCACATGTGCAGCGCAAACTGAATGTGTAAGTCTGATGTAAACATTTGTTGTGACAGTCACGGCATTTTCAAAATGATCTCGGATCTGCTATTCATCTTACGGACAATTACTTTAGACTTAAATCTACTTCCATACATCCTCCCCCAGCCAAGACACACTGGGACACAGCAGCCAGGGACGGAGGCTCTTCACTGACCTTTCCATCCCGTCCCCAAACAGCTCCTCCCCATCCTCCTCTTCCTCCTCTCCTGGTATGGTCCCCTCACCAATAAGCTCAGATTCATCTTCAAACGGGGGTAGATCTCGCCCGGGGCTGGACGTTAATTCCCCCCGCCTGGAACCCCCACTGGGGCTGGTCGCCATTTGAAATGACTCTGATGAATCCTGGACAACAGATAGACATACCTTTAATAAGTTTTTAAACACCTGCATGTAACACAGAGGTATACTGTTAAAAGGTCAGTCGGAGCTTTTTCATCGATTTGCACTACATAGTTCTGAAACCAGTGAAATTTCCAAATGGCACACACAGTTAATGGAGTACTTAGGAAATGCCCTTGAATCTACGACTGGGATCCTAGCAGAAAAAATGCAGCTAATCTGAAACTGAAGCGAAAATGGCCCCAGTTCAGGCTAAAACGTAACGGTAACGGGTGTACAAGTGTCATACATTCTGCTTTATTAGCTAGAAAGTAATATTATCCATAAACCGCAATATAATTCCCAACTTTGTTCCAGTGTCCAATTATAGCGGATAACATTATTTTATATCCGACTGCATTACGACTCAAAGTTAGACAAGCCAACAGTACAAAATACAGCTGCGTGTATTGGTCGCTGCACGTTTTCATGTGAACAATACACACCATCTGCTTAAGTTCTTATGTAATCAAAACCACTTTTTCTTTTGCTAATATGTACTACAGCCTACTCTATTCTCTCTTAAGTCTTTGAGTATTATTACTTTTAGTAATGTTAAAATTTATTTTACTTACAGCCATTCCGGTTCTCTGCTCTCTGTCTCTTGCTTGCAGATGTAAACTCCAAGTGTATTGTTTCGCGCGAAAAGTTCACGTGACTGCAAAGCCCGCGAAATCTCATGAATATGTAATGAGGCTCAATGGCGTAGCTCCGAGTCAGCTATACGGGGCTTTCATAAGATTGTAAACATTTATAACTGATAATCCGCGGCGTGAAATATTTATTCTGAAACTTGAGTGTGATAGTTTTCGATGTTCGATCTGAGGCTGACATTTCAGATCCAGAAAGTAAAAATCGAAACAAAACCAGTTGAATATAAAGATTCACAGTCAGAGTACTCAACTGGTTGGTGCAAACAAAATCGTGGTCTGGATTTTCACTTTAGGGCTCGGAAATGTCCAACTCTGATGATATGGTTGCTTACAATAACCAGCACACAACTTAGGCTAAAGTGACAGGACTACAACTTTAAAATATATTAAAGATTAAATCATCTGGACTTCCCTGCAAAGAACTAATATCCCATTTAAAGTTTCTCTTGCCTTGTGCCCTGTACATCCTGGGATAGGCTCCAAGCTCACCATAACTCCATACTGGTAAAAGGTTGAGTGATGGATGTATGGATGAATGGAATCATTTAAAGGGATAGTCAGATAAGGAAAATCATTTCAGAATAAGAATCACCTAGCCACAATAAATACCTTAGTTTTCCAAAATCCTTTACCCAGAAGGGCATGAGATTCAACATTTACCAGCCAAGCAGATCGTATTCGTTTAAGGTTATAGGACAGCTGACAGCAGTGTAACATGTATGTGTCAAAGGGATCACTGTGAAGCACCTTCCCAGCACACAGCAGAGACTCCTACTGTGATGCAGGCCGGTTCCCATAAGCTGACAGGTGACATGGCTCGAAACTCAAATAGTCTCAAGTATTGATCTGTCTTTTCCCTGTTAATTCAGGAGAAATTGGTAAATGTTTTACCATGTACGTATGTATGGAATTAAGCAAAAAAAAATAAATGCATGAATAGAAATTCAACAAATTGCTTTAATGTTCATATTATTTATTATTCATATTAATGTGTTTTACCCCAGAACAGCAGAGATATGTAAAAGTATTACAGCAGCTGATTAATATTGACAATTACCCTATCTTTGACTGTATTTAAAAACAGCTCTCAGTGTTGCTCAGTTGCCTTTAAATATTAAATACAAGACAGGCAAACTTAAAGCAAAAGCAGTGTATGTAAGAACTGTGTTGTACAGTGTGGTCTTGTTAATCTGGCTCTCCAGCCGCTTCTCAGTTTGCACCAGTCCTTGCATGACACCCTCAGTGTCACGGAGCAGCACCTGCGCCTCCTGCGTGCCAATGAGTGGCTTCCCCACAGCGGGCTGTCTGACGGACGCCAGTCGGACCTCTCGAAGTTCGGAGCGCACGCCGCCCAGAGTCTTTTCCAGCTGAGCTAGCTGTGGTTGGAGCTCCTGCATTACAGTCTGGGCTTTCTGTGTGGAGCGCAGAATGTCATTCAGTATGGACTGGATGGCGCTTGGAAGGGGGGTTGGGGGGCTGGAAGTAGTAGCTGGGTATGATGAAGCCTTGGACCTTTCCAGTGTCCTTTCAGGAACAGCCTCCCTCAAAGTACCAATAAGAGCTCTAAGCTCCTCTTGCTGGCCCTTGTGCACAGCAGCTTGCTCTTTGATGGCTTCCTGTAGACTCACTGGTCCCTTCTGAGCCTCCATTAGTAGGCTCCTAAGCTCCTGGAGACGTACCCTATTGACATAAGTGGACCCCATAACCCCGATCAAGGCCCCTAGAACGGAACCGATGACAGACCAGTTTTTGGTCCTCTCTGCCCTGGCTCGCTCTTTCTCGTGGCTCTCGCGTACCCCCACCGAGAAAAGAGCAAAACGTTCCCTCTCTGCCTCCTCCGCATTCTCATAGGCTGTCCGCAGACGTCGCTCCTCCTGCGATTCAATGGAAAGAAGAGGTTTTAACAAAAAGCCATTGGCGTGAGACAGCAGATCAATTCATGTCATCTGATCCATACGGCATAATTTAACTAGTTTTTCAAAGGGCCCACAATTTACATCCTGCATTCTGCACATCTCACCTGAAGCAACTTGTGCTCCGATGTGGCCAGCTCAAGGTAGTGGGCCTCCTCACGGGAAACACGGTCCAGCCGGTCTCTGACCTCCTTCAACCGGCCCTGTAGAGCTTCCAAACTTGCATGGGCCTCACGAACCATCCCTCTGGCCACCATAAAAGCCTTCTCAGCCTAATAAAACATTCAGTTACCTGGCCGTTTAGCTTGGGGAAAAAAAATCTGTCCCACCCCGATTCCACTTTGCACTTCAATTTACCTCTGTAACTTTTGTCTGGGCGTCTCGAACTTCATTGAGACCCACAAATTCTTCATACTTTCCCCACCAATAGTTGATGGAGGCCGAGATGGTTTTGGCCGAATTCTGTCCCCACTGCCTTCCCACCTCGGTAAGGCTCTTCACGGCATCGACCACATGCTGTTGTGCAGGAACTAATCTGGATGCCTCATTCTTTGGACTTTTTTGGCGCATACAATAATATCTATTAGAAAATGCTTCTGCTCTATGTCTGTAGGCAAACTGAACAAAGTAGCAGCCTTTCCCATAATGCTGTGACAGTATATGACCTGCCCTGTACCTCATTTAAGAATGAAATGGCAAACTAACGTGCAGCGACAGGGTACCTTCGTCTGGACCTGTTATAATTGAATAACAGAATAGGTTAGGAATACTAACACATCCTTTTGGGACATTCACATTATACGACTTGCAACAGCAAAACTCACAAAACATCCTTTTAAAATTAACAAAACTATTCCCACATTTTAGCGTTAGTTAAAGCGCAAAGCATTTGGGAAAAAATAATTTAGGATGGTAAATAAAGAAGCAAAGACTAAAATATCACGTTTATTTTATTATTGTACTTTATACTAGGCTGAAATTTGGATTATGATTTTCTGACCTTGTAGACTTCACATTCTTTTATTAGTGATGATTTTAAGAACATATTCGCATTAGGTGAGTATCTAGTTAGAATGCGAGTAACTTAATTCATACATTGCCAGGAAGCCGGCTACCAAGCCAGATTTGTCATTCAGCAACTATACTCCAGTACAATTTACGTGATTTAAATTAAGAGGCTGGGGTTTTGCAAAATAGCATGCCATAAACAGACTGTCTAAACATACAAAAACAATACAATACCATACCACGTTATACGGATAACTCTTCCGTGATCTCAATAGTTGTCAAAGGTGCGCAGACATGGGTAGCCAGTTAGCATTAGCTCAAAGCAGCTTTCATTCAGGCACAGAATAAGACATCTATTTCCGGGTGACTCTAGTCTTGGGGTCCTGACTGCGCTCGCTTTGGAAATTGCGTGCAGACTATACGGTCGGTAATATGTCTGGAAGAGACGGTAAGTAGGAATTAAATAAATTAACTTTCATTTTTGCATCAAGTTTAAAAGCCTGTTGTTCATAATGGTGATTTAGTTTTAGCAACCGATTTCGTGGAAAAACGTAAACTACCGATGTGTTTACAATAAATATCCTGACGTTGGCTAGATGTATAACACGGTGCATTCTGTATATTTAGGCATTTGATAAGTTATAAATATAAAATTCACAAATTTCACAGCTATGCAGATTTTATTATGGCTCTTGTATATTTGGGTCCAAATTTTTACCTTTTAAATATCGCGGCAAAACGCGCCGGTTTTCTGTCAAAATTCACTAATCAGCATCTGCAACAACGCCACAATGTCATAATCTCGTAATATTGTACGAGGCATAGTCGCAGCAACTAGGCCGGGATTGTAAATCTTCTTAGTTCGATGGTGACTCAGTATATGCCATCATACGGTACTAAGAGTGTAGAGTCCCAGTTTTGGGTAATCATGCTTTATGTATGGTGGTAGAACAGTGGCACAAATCTTTCCTATTAATCTTACCTTTGTAGAAGTGTATGGTAGGCATGCTGCCACTGACGCATTTACTTAGCTGGCTGAATGGTTGCGGTTTTTCGGTCCGTTGTTGTAGCTCGTGAATAAAATATGTTGCAACTTTGTTTTTTGTGCAACCCACTTTTGCGGGAGCGTAGTGTTCGTCGTTGCATTAATACAGTTTGTCATCATTAAACGATACATTTGAAGGACCCTGCACTGATATCACTGTGTGGTGGCTTGCTTACACGTTGATGGCAGTGTAATAGAAACCGATGTGTCATCGAGTATTACCAAAAGAGGATTAAACTCCTAAGATACTTATGTCCTTATGCCGAAAGGACACTCCTATGTATTACCCGAGTAGCTTTTTGTAGTTTCCATTCGTCCTTACCTAGTTTTAAATGTGTTTGGCTCAATTCGCATTTACTGCAGATCGTTGATTACGAAGAACGCTTAAGTCATTCTCATTTTTTCTCTTATGTAGGTGGCAAGAAGAAGCCCTTAAAACAGCCCAAAAAACAAGCAAAAGAAATGGACGATGTAAGTTTTTTTTTCCTTTTATGAACTACAAAAGTGCTGTATGAACCATCTGTACGAACAAACGGGCTTACATTGAAATTGGATGAAGAATCGCTTACTGTCTTCGCTGATTTTTTTCAGGAGGACATGGCTTTTAAGCAAAAACAAAAGGACGAGCAGAAACAGATGGAGGCGATGAAAAACAAAGCTGCAGGAAAAGGGCCATTTGGTAAGAACGTCGTGGTTAATGACAGTCAGGAGACAATAAGACACTAGGCGGCGCTGTCGGAGTTCATAATTACAATTGGAAGCCTTTTATTGTCATTATACCACGTATAACGAAATTGCAGAGCAGCTACCCCTTCAGACACAACGAAGAACAAACATTCAATCATTTACACAGTGACTATGAAAAGTACTACAAATAAATACTACAGGATAAAAAGTATATAAATGTGTAGATGATGATAGCCAGCAGTAGTCAGTGTGCTTTTCTTGTACATACTGGGTATGCATTTGAAATTGCAAGATCTACCGAATGGTAGATAGAAATTTTATAAATGTTTTTAAAAGAGTGGGTCTGTCATAGTCTCTAGCAGCATTTGTTGCATATGCTTTTATAGTTTAATGATTGAGAATTGAAATGGTTAGGTCAGGTCAGAGTGTTTTAACCATGTGTGAATCTCTGCATTGATTTACATCAATGCAGCATGAGGATTGGGTATCCTGATCCTGCAAGTAAGGTAGCAGCCATATTTCCCAAACTCAAGATTTTTGTCACTGTTACTCCACACCTGCATAAAAATGTTATCGTTTTGTGATTTATCCCCCCCCCCCCTTCTACCCCACAGCTGGCACTGGGATCAAGAAATCCGGAAAGAAGTGAAATGACCTTTGGGAAGATGTTTTGCGTCTCCATGCTTTCGGGTCCATTTTGAAAGTCAAAAATTTAAACTGTGTTCTTTTTTGTGATAGTTTTGCAACTATTGTATTACCTCAGACATGGTTTTGTTTCGCTCCCAGAAAGCCCCAATGAAAGACAGCAGTTGCGTACTTCATTAAACCATAACTTTTTCTGACACCTGAGGGGTGTTCCACGAAGCAGGATTTCAAAGTTAGCTGGGTTAATTTAGACTAGAAGTCATGACTGTCCAATAAGAGTTTAGGTAAAGAGCATTCCTATTGGGCAATGACTTCTAGTTTAAGTTAACCCAGCTACCAGAGAAATCCTGCTTTGTGGAATACCCCCTGCTTTCAATATGCAGCATTTCTAAAGTCCTAATTGTCATTTTTGAGTTGTTTACCTGACTTGTCACATGAATTTTGGCTTTCTTAGATCTCCCCTAAAATGTAAACATATGAATTAAAGTATATCTGAAACCCAGAATGGAATATTTCAGATTTACTTACTAAATTCTAGAAAAATAATTTGTTCAGAATATGAATGTTGCTCCACCCGGCACAGAATCAGCATAATGCTCTGTAACATGCCTTTCATTTACGTCATGCAGTAAGTTTTCATATTAACACTGAATCCACTCTAGTGAAATTGTGCTGGGCGGAAGGTTGCAGTGTGGAGGTAAGCTATGCAGCCTACTTCAGATTCATGTTTATCCATTGTTTAATACACTATGTGGACAAAAGTATTGGGATACCTGGCCATTACATCTACAGGAACTTTTATGACATCCCATTCTAAATCCATAGGCATCAATATGATGCTTGTCCTCCCCTTTTCAGCTATAACAGCTGCCGCTCTTCAGGAAAGGCCTTCAACAAGATTTTAGAGTGTGACTAAGGCAATCTTTGCCCATTCATCCAGAAAAGCATCTGTGAGGTCAGGCACTGATGTTGGACATGAAGGCCTGGCTCACAATCTCTCTTCCATTTCATCCCAAAGGTGTTCGATGGGGTTGAGGGCTCTGTGTGGGCCAGTCAAGTTCTTCCTCATCAAATTCACCCAACATCCACAGTCATGCGGGAACAGAAAAGGGTCTTCCCCCAAACTGTTCCCACAAAGTCTAAAGCCCCCCTAAAATAGACCTAACACCGGCCCTAACTTAAATATCTCTTGTATTACGTACTAGTTACTCACAGTAGCATCAGGACTTAGTGTGACCTCACTGTTAGGTGCTTTGCGTTGAGCTGGTATTTCAGGCTTGAACTACTCCCAACGGTACAAAAATTACATACTGAACAAAATGCACAGAATAGTGCTCCTATCTCACGTTCTATCTGGGCATTTTTTAAACGTAAAATTTCCATTGGCCAGGCCAAGCAACATTTTTGCACTAACTTCCATATTTACAGTGCTACTGAGAATGGCTGTAAATTGTCAAGGGGCGTCGTAGAGCACGATTAATTTGCTTTTTTTTTTTGCCGTGTTATTTTTCTGTAATTAATTAATGGAAATTAACTCGTTATTTTGACAAGTCTAACAAAAACATATTATCCAGCATTCAGTACAGGGTCATGACGATCTTGGAAGCACAGGATGGGTGACATCATAATGTGCGAGTAAAATATAAAAACATGAAGACTCATTTTCTTTTGGTCCAAATGCTTTTTGAATGTTCAGGTCCATTGCAGTTATGGCCGTGCGGATTACAATTTAACATCAAAAGCAGTCTGAAGGTGAAATATTGCTCAATTTAGCAGACAGTTTTCTGTTCTTTTGACAGCATTTGGGTGGAGGTTGCTTTCAGGTAATGCATTCATCGTGGAATTTAAAAAATGCTACATGAATAATCTTCTGCAAGTAACCCACCAGAGAGAAAGATGGAGAAAAATAAAAGTGTCTTTGTAACTCAAATCTGATGTCGGAGAATTTGAGGAAGGACTTTCTCTCCAAACTCCCGCATCACACGCCATCACCCAGTACCTGCCCAGGTTAAGGGTCACTTGCAGCACTTCTTGCTAGACTGGAACTATCAGCAATTCAGAGCAATCTGTGAGACTATCGAACAAAGGTGTGTCCATACGATGATAAAGATCATCTTAAAAAGTCACAACACTGGTACCCACCCATCCTAGAAGAATTTCCTCCTTGTATACAATCACTATTATTATTATTCAGTGGCTGGACAGACAGTGTTGAAAAGCATCTGCTCTGCTACCCATCAGATAACAGTGATGATGATGATAAGGAACAACTTCAGCCAATTCATTCATTCTTTAAAAAAATGTCCCAAATAGGTGCTTCACATTGGAAATGAAATTAAAACAGTCCTTAACTTGTCAAACCAAATTCACATTTTTTTTTTTTAGATTTAATAACCATTCCGTCTACCTAAATATAGCATGAATGCATCTATTCACCCATTTTTTTGTTGCTGCTTGTCCTATTCGGGGGGGGGATCTGGAGCCTATTGTTGCAGTACAATCCAGGATGGGCCACCAGCCTATTGCAGGGCACACACGCAATTTTGTAACTCCAATTAAAATCAGCATGTTTTGACTAGGGGGGGGTGGACCTGGATCATCTGGAGCAAACCCCCGTGACAACACAGAGAGAACATGAAAACTCCACACGCAGAGACCTGGCGGAGACTCAAACCCAGGGCCCAGAGGTGTGATCAAGGAGTGCTAAGCACTGCTCCACCAGACTGCCCCTGCATCAATGCACAGCGTTAAAGTCCTCCATCAATGTATTTGGTTACACAAACTGAATTATGCCTAACATTCAATTAAGTATTTTATCAATCCATCCATCTTCAATAGCTGCTTATTAAATCCAGGGCTGCTGCATTTCTGGAGCCTGTCCTTGGGAATACAACGCAAAAGGCAAGGGAGACCCCAGTCCGGTATAGGGGTCACACTCCTGAGTATGCTGAGGCAGCGTCTGGATTTATACCCAAGTGTGTGGAAGATGTGACTGTCACCAAGAACCCTGGCTCACCAGAGAGGTGCATACACTTCTAAAAGCACGTAACGAAGCCTTTAAGTCTGGGGATAAAGATGCTCTTAGATCTGCAAGAGCTAATCTGAACTGAGGCTTGAGAGCAGCAAAACGTGCCTATGGACAGAAAATACAGAGTCACTTCACTGACTTGAAAGACTCCAAACGCTTGTAGCTTGGCATCCAGTCCATTACGGATTACAAGCCCCTTCCACTACCCTGTGAAGACAACAGTGAATTTCTCAACTCACTCAACCAATTCTTCACCTGGTTTGAGGAAACAAACAATCAGACAACAACAAAAACTCCCCTCAGCATGGAAGATGAAGCTCTATGTTTGGATTCAACAGACGTCTGGAAATCTTTACGTAGGGTTAACACACGGAAAGCTACAGGTCCTGACAACATCCCAGGATATGTACTTAGAGAATGTGCTGACCAACTGACACTCGTCCTAACAGATATCGTACCCCAATGCTTCAAGACAACAACCATCAAACCACTGCCAAAAAAGTCATCAGCTTCATCATTAACTCTTAATGACTTCCGCCCTATAGCACTCACTCCAATTGTTATGACGTGCTTTGAACGGCTGGTTAAGGACCACATAACATCCGTACTTCCTGCAACATTCGACCCATTCCAGTTTGCATACCGTCCAAATCGCTCAGTCGATGATGCCATATTGACAGCACTTCACCTAATCCTGGCTCACCTTGAAAGTAAAAACATGTGCTCATGCTCTTCATTGATTTCAGCTCTGTATTTAACACTGTTGTTCCACAACAGTTGATAAAGAAACTGGGTCCACTAGGTATCAACACCTCATTGTGCAATTAGATATTGGACTTTCTCACAAACAGACCTCAGACAATATGGGTTGGAAATAGCATCTCTGAGACAACTACTGTAAACACCGGGGTTCCCCAGGGCTGTGTCTTAAGCCCTTTGCTGTTCACCTTGATGACTCATGACTGCTGTGCCAAGTTCAACACGAACCACATCATCAAGTTCGCAGACGACACAACAGTAGTGGGTCTCATCAGTAACGACGATGACTCAGCCTACAGAGAAGTAGTGAATCAACTCCTTGTCTTAATAACCTGTTCCTGAATGTCAACAAGACGAAGGAGATCACTGTTGACTTCAGGAAAAAGCGCAAAACACACACTCCACTCACAATCCATGGCAATGCTGTGGAGTCAGTGAGCAGCACCAAGTTCCTGGGAGTACACATCACCGAAGACCTGACATGGACCACTAACACCACCTCGCTTGTTAAAAGGGCACATCAACGACTCCACTTCCTTTGTCGGCTAAAGAGAGCAAACCTCTCCCCGCATGTCCTCACATCTTTTTATAAGGGTACTATTGAGAGCATCCTGACCAGCAGCATCTGTCTGGTATGGCAGCTGTAATGCCTCTGACCAGAAGTCCCTTCATAGAGTAGTGAGGTCAGCAGAGAAAATGATCAGGATTTTTGTTTGTTTTGCACAATGAGTCAGGAGAAACGCAATTTCATTCTACCATGCACTCTCAAACTGTGTGGTCCGAATGACAATAAAGTTTACTTTGACTTTGACTTGACTTGACACTCACAGTCACACACTAGGGGCGATACTGAGAAACCAGCGCACATGTGTCTCTTTGCTCTGTGGGTGGAAACTTACACAGGGAGACCATGCAAACCCCACATACAATCAAACGAGCAACCATGGAGCTGCAGGATCACCGCAACACCGAGTAATTAGGTAAGAATTTAGTGCACGTCAGGGGCATCATTAGGTCCGATCACTCAGGGCTATAGCCATAAGTATTTTAACCCTGATGCCAGGCTTCCTTCAAAAAATAAATATAAATAAATAAAAAGACAAGCCCCAGGGAAACTTGACTTAGCCCCTGATCCTTTCAATAGCTATAAATGCCTCTGGTGTAAGCATTGAAGTACAGGCAATGTTATGGGCCGGCAGGTCAGCGGTTACCACTGTTAGCTGTATAGGGGGTTTGCATTCAACTGTCCAAAGACACACAGTTAAATGAACCGGAGTTTGTAACTTGCCAACCGTGTGCAGGTGTATGTCCTGTAAAGATCTAGCATCTCATCCAGGAATGTCACCCATACTACTCTTTAGCTATGTTACCTTACGGGGTGACACCCGTATTGGGCCTTATCATTCAGGTCACTGAAGAGACAGTATGGCAGAGGCAGCAGAATCACTAAAAAGTTAAAGAATTTAAGCCACGATTGATAAGGAAAGATGTTCTGGCTGTGATGCGAGCTATAAATGGAATGTTGACCGGTCTTTCCAGGGAGGGGAAAAAACACACACACCTAACTCGCGCTCCACCCAGAAGCTGCTAAATAAGAGGCGCCATCAGCATATACTCCAGAACACTCTTCCACTCCATCCACAGTGCTCTTCTGCCTCCATCTCGCTCAGCTAACCTCCTGGCACCTGCAACCATGAGTCTACAGACCAAGCAATTCAGCAGCTTCAGCACAGTGAGCAGCAAAGGCAAATCCGGCTTCAGCACAGTGAGCAGCAAAGGCAAATTCAGCAGCGTCAGCAGCTCCGGCTTCAGTGGTGCCTCTTACTATGGCATAGGACCCCGGTTCAGCTGGAGCCCCTCCATCAAGCAGACCCCGATGCCCTGTGGCCTTCACTCCGGCTCCCATATCAGCTCGGTGAACGTCAACTGGAATCTGCTGGATCCCCTCAACTTGGGGGTCGACCCCACTTTCTGTACCGTGCGCAAAGAGGAGAAGGAGCAGATCAAATCCCTCAACAATCGCTTCGCCTCATTCATCAATAAGGTACCATGGGCCTGGACCCGATATGCATGACCAAAATGTCAGAATGCACCAGGCTTACTGTTATTAACTAATGATGACTACTGGACTCAAAGTACAGGTTTAATTTACTGTATAAAGAAACCTGCACAACTAAAGGCTTTTTATTTAATGTTTTAATTTATTGGGTTAAAACAGGGCTGCTCATTTCTGCTCCTGAAAATCTACCACCATGCAGACGTTAGGTGTTCCTGATTAGCTGTATCGGGTGTATTAAATTGTGGCTGCATGTAAACTCTGCATGATGGTAGATCTTCAGGTGCAGGAATTGGCAGCCCTGGGTTGAAGAATTTTCCCTGGAATCAAATTGTTTATCTAATCCAATCAAAATTCATATTGCCATTTTCAGGCATGTTCATTGGATTTCAGAATTCTGAATTGAAAGCAGACATTATCATGCTAAATTTTGCAGGGAATTGTTGCAATCAGTCTATTCAACAGTTACTTCCTCTCCTCTTTTCAGTTTTGAACATTTTCCCCAGTTTTCCTGGTAATCATGGCTGAAAGATGTATAATCTCTCATCACCTTGGTTAGAATGAGCCAAGTAACATACGCCTAAAGACCTCATTCTGTATTTTGGAATAGAATACTTTTTCAGGTGTGTGAGAGACCAAGAATAGGTCAGATTTCATCCTGGATAACTCAGACAACTATGCGTCGTTTGTAATCCTCAGACACAATGACAACACGATACATGGGCCTCGGGACTGAAATGCAGACCAGAGATAGCCCTTCCCACACAGAGCATGTCTGCTCCGTGGAACTGACACCTCATGCACAGCACTCTGAGCCGAGGTGCAGGACAGAAAGCACCTGCACTTCACTGCAACCACAATAGCACAAACGTTAGAGCGGCACAACTTAGAACACATCCATTAACAATCCCAAACTGATATTTCGCTCTGTCAATATACTGAATAACAAAAGTCAATGAAAGACAACTTATAACCTGCCCTTTCTCTAACCGTTTACTCCCTGTGATACACCGTAGGTGCGCCATCTGGAGCAGCAAAACAAATTGCTTGAGACCAAGTGGAACCTCCTTAAACAGGAGTCCCCCGACGATTCCCAAATCGAAATGATGTACGAGGACTACATTTCCAGGCTGCACTATCAGCTGGACACCCTCAACGAGGAGAGGAGCAGGCTGGACGGCGGCCTGAAGGACGTGATGTTGCAGGTGGAGGGCTGCAAGGAAAAGTAATGTCACGTGAACAAACGGACATGAGCGGGTTGATTACAAAGACCAGCCAGAAGCACAGCACCTCGACAGCTGAAATAGCCTAGCAGTGAGCGTAGGGCTGAGGAATGAGGATTACCAAGCGGAAATGCCAGGACATTTCCTTCTGTTGTACCTTTATTTAAGCTAAATTTTTACAAATAGGGAAGAGAATTTGGAAAACATAGGTAGCAGCAAATGTTGTAAAGTTTCTGGGTTGAGGTCTCAAAGGGCTTCCCTGCTGCTGTGTTCCTGTGTGTTTTCAATGAGAATTGCGGAAGCATGGGCTGTAGAAAATGGAAAAATTATTTGCTTAGTATAAAGTTCATTCTCCAAAGTAGGCAAATACGCTAATTTACATTTGTGCTTGTATTATAATGAATATAAATACTTTGGGACATAATTCTGTTATGTTGAATATTATAGTTAAGTGTTGAAGAATATTTACCTTTAAGTTAACCTTTAACGTAAAACTGAATGTGTGCATTTATTTGTTTTACTCCAACCCTGACCCAGGTTTGAAGATGAAATTAACAAGAAAGCCAGCTTAGAAAATGAGTTTGTAATCCTGAAGAAGGTAAGCACCTTGCATGTTCCCAGGTCAGGTATACTTAGGATGCCTTTGGCTGTGTTACACACCCAGGACCCAGTAAAGTCCCACCAATGTGCCAGGAGTTGGGCGGTAAAGGGGAGTTTGGCTGAATCACGGGGAACAAAGGCCCTCACTGAATAAAAATGTCGCACCTACAGCCATTAACACACCTGGCTAGCAAGGTGTCATATGAGAATGAGGCAGCAGCTGTTACTTGAATCGTTTCTGCTGTGGGATGTGCGGCAGCATCCCTGCCAAATGCAATTTGTGTGACCATGTTGCTCCATTTAAACTAGCTAGCGGCTGAACTACCTGTTTGTTTTAATGTCCATATATGGCAATGACAGAGAAGACACTAAGGGTGGGGCACTGTAATGTCGTAGCTGGTGATAAAGGAGGGGGCTTTCTCAGAGCTGAAGGTCCCTGAACCGAGTTTTAACACAGGATGTCGACCACGCTTTGCTGGTGAAGACAGAACTGGATGAAGAGGCTGAAGCCCTGAATGAAAAAATATACTTCCTCAAGACTATATACGATCAGGTATGATGTCTCTAAACAAGTACTCTGACTTGCTCAGTGCCAACTCACTTCTGGTGCAGTTATTAGGAGATCAATTCATTGGCAAGTAGACTAGAACAAAGAAGTACAAACTGATTTTCTCGGGAGGAAAAAAAAAGAATTATAACTGAGTTGACAGATACATGTAGCAAATGGAGAACATGACTTCATTGAATCTACTCCTTTTTGGTCCACAAGGAATTGACTGAGCTTGAAGCCAGCATCAAGAACACTTCGGTCACTGTGCAGATGGACAACTCCCGTGAAATCAACATGGAAGACATCATAGCTGACGTTAAGGCACAATATGAGTATGTTGCCACCAAAAGTCGCGAGGAGGCAGAATCGTGGTACAAGGCTAAGGTAAATTGACAGGAAGTCAAAGCACTCCTGCTTCATGGGATCATCTGGGCAGATCTACTTTTCTGTGAAAATATAGAACATTAATTAACTCAAATTTGGGCCAAGGCATGAGTAAGAAGCCCAACCACAGAGTGGGTCAGATCCTGAGGTCCGTGGAGAATTACCATTCCAGCGATGCACAGACAGCCATCTCTTATGGGGAGGAAAATGCATGGTGAAGTTCTTGACCTGTTTAAAAACCAGCATCCTTTGCCATGACCAGGTCAATGAGATGTCAAAGAATGCCAGCTACTATGATAATCAACTATCCACATCAAAGAATGAACTGGCGGAGCTCAGACGCAAGATCACGCGTATAAAAAATGAGATTGAGACTGTCAAGGGACAGGTAAGGCTTAGTATCCTCTGTCAAGGAAGAAACATTCAAAAATCATAGTGTATAAAAAAGAATCTATATTAGAAATCTCTAACAGGAGTCACCAAACATCCACCCTGCTCCAAATACCTTTCATGAGATTTTTTTCTTCTCCAGCAAGGTAATCTGGACTCGGATATAAAGAAGGCAAAAGCTAAAGGAACTGAGGAGCTGGAAAAAGCCTGGAAGCACATCCGGAGCCTGGAGAAGAACTTGAACGAGAAGAAGAAGGCTCTGGCTTGCCAGGTGAAAGACTATCAGGAGCTGATGAACTGCAAGATGGCCCTAGACATTGAGATCGCCACCTACAAGAAGCTGCTGGAAGGAGAGGAGTTCAGGTGAGGTCAGATTCTCTGCTCAAACGTGAATCCGGGGTGCTATGGTAGCCCTTCTACTCATTGCACGACAGTTATAAAGACAGCATCTATTATTGTGTTTTTTATACCCTACATAACAGATCAAGGTTTGACCAACACATTATACAATATAAGTAACGCTTTACATTAACTGCACCTTCATAATGCTTTTATATTGCATTAATAAAACATTAAGTACACCTTCATAATGTATTCATTAAGTATTCAGAAATCATTCATAAACATCATGCATGTATATCTTTACATCCTAACATCCCTTCACAGCTGTAATATACATTAATAACAAACATTATATAATAATAACAAACATAATTGTATAATCATGTAATGTTTGTTATTAATGTATATTAAAGCTGTTAAGGGATGTTAAAGTGTACTTGCATGCTGCTTATGAATGTTCTATGAATGCATTATGAAGGTGCACTGAATGTTCTATAAACGTATAATGAATGCATTATGAAGGTGCACTTTATGTAAAAAGTTACCCAATATAATTATCTGGAACAATGATATTATAACATCTCATTTTTAATTGGACAGAATTGGACATGAGTACGCTGTGAATATCCATCCAGGGACCCACACCTGTAAGTATAATTTAATATTAATTACCTTCTATATTCTTAAAAAAAACTTTTTGAAAGAACTTGTTTTGAAGAAAGCATGAAAACAGAGAACATTTGCTTCTGTTAAGTTTTATTGCACTGGGCTAATTTCCTTTTTTCCCCAGATAAAGAGGTGGAAATTCCACAGCAAAAACTTCTGATCAAGAAGATCGAGACTCATGACAAGAAGACATTCAGCCTCAACTGAGCTACTGGAAACACAGTGAATGGTGCCTTATCCTGTTAACTTTACCTATAAAATGTAACTTCGGGTATAAAGGGAAAATAAAACAGTTTCTCACTAGCACAGGCTTTCTGCTCAGATAAAAAATGTATTAAAAATAAAGTGCTCTCTACAATAAATTCACTTCCGTAATGTAACTCTTATTTTCATCTTGATATTTAGGCTATTTTATTCCAATGTTTACACATATTACATTCAAACATTCAAACTGTGATTTGTACTGTGTTTCATTCTGTGTCATGATACGTAGAAAACAATTCATGTTTAACACAGAAATGACAAAACATTAAGCCCTTCATTCAGTGTGGCTCTGCGGGTTAGAATCCATAATAGGAAGGTCTTTGGTCCACATACCATAGCTGGTAGAGTGATGCCACTGCTGGGACCAGTGAGAAGGCCCCATAACCACAATCACTCCAGGGATCTCTGATCCTTACTTGTATGTTGCTTTCGACCAAAACTACTACTAAACAAAAGAATGTTTGTGTCTGGAATTCAAACCTCACCACACCTCCGCCCATCTGCGAGCACTGGTTATCAGATCCAAAGCTGATATAAGGAATTCCACCCACAAAGGCTGATCGTTCAACACGTCCTGTTGGCTGATCCTGCTCCACCTTGGTGCCCCATGGTTATATGCACACTGTCAGGGAAATAAAATACCAAATTTTACCTTTGAGGATACGATTACTTGTCACTGCGGCTGTTACTCACTAAGGTCTGCCAATAGTATCCTAGCTGTAGGTAAATGTACTTCTTTCGGCTCCTCTTAGGGCTCATCACAGCAGATCACTTGTTTCCATTTCTTCCTTTCCTCTGCTCCTTCCTCTTCCTCACCAGCCTCACCACATCCATAAACCTCCTCTTAGGCCTTCCTCTTTCACACAAGCCACCTGCAATTCCTCTCTCACAACATCCACAACCCTCCTCTTCAGCCTTCCTCTTTTCCTCTTGCCTGGCAGCTCTATCCTCAGCATCCTTCTCCCCACATACCCCACATCTCTCCTCTGTAAATGTCCAACCAACGCAACCTCACCTCTCCAGCTTTGTCTCCAAACCGTCCAACCTGAGCCGACCCTCTAAGATACTCATTCCTAATCCTGTCCATCCACATCACACCCAATGCAAATCTTACCATCTTTAACTCAGCAACCTCCTGTCTTTCCATCAGTGCCACCTTCTCCAGCCCATTTAACAAAGCTGGTCTCACTACCATCTTGTAAACCTTCCCTTACACTCTTGCTGATTCCCGTGTCACAAATCATTCCTGCCACTCTTCTCCACCCTGCTGTCACCCTCCTCCTCTTCTTGATCTCCAAAATCATCATACAGATCACCATCCTCCATAGGACATGATCCACCTGTGTGAATCTTCCTCCGCTCTCGTATGACACTCTGTGCTCCTCCCACTTCTTAAAACATGTATTCACCACAGCCATTTCCATCCTTTCTGCAAAATCCATTACCATCTGACCTTCTGCATTCCTCTCCTTCACACCATACCTCCCCATCACCTCTGTTCCCTTCACCAACATGCTCATTGAAGTCCACTCCAATCATCCCTCTCTCTACCCTTGGATACACTCTCCACCACTTTGACCAACTCCACTCTCCTACCCTTCCTCATCTCTTCCTGTTTCTAGACTTGCCTTCCCACTCTTCCTCAGCCAACAGCAGCCCAATTTCCACCAGCACCCTGTTGACTAACAGCACTGGAGGCGTAGTTGTTAACCCAGGGCTCGACCGATCCGGTATAGAAATCTGTATTGTTGTCTGCATATTTATTTTGCAAAAGTTTTACACCAGATGTCCTTCCTGAAGCTTCCCACGTCATTTATCCAGGTTTGGAAGCGGCATGAAGAAATACGCTGGCTGGTGCATCTCCAGTGTCTGTACCTTTTAGTCTAATTTCAGGTACAAAAATGGACCCCGAGGAACATTCTTCTACCAAGTGGGGTAAACTGATTGAGCCAATCATCTCATTTTTCATACAGATACCACATACTAGATACCACATGCAGCAAGTAAAAAGATGCACCTGTGTATGATTTTGCGTTAATACTTTAAAAAGTCATTATACATTTTGCATCGTTAATTCTGAACACATAAGAATTTAAACTCGTTTTTTTTTTAAATCCTTATGATCGAATACATTTACTCGTACACGTTTTAAGGGTCACAAAGGCCTATACGTAAGGATTAGTGTGATGAATTTGTGTCGATAACAGCATTACAGACACAATTACTGACTGGTTATTCTTAAACTCTATTTATAGAAGCTGTCCACACTAAAGATTTAATTACTGAATATTAACCCCAACTTAAAACAAAAAAAACTGTGAAATTTACACATTCCACATATCGTAAATAGATGTTCCCAATTTGGACAAATGATTATAAACAAATTATTAAATAATAATAATATTGATGATAATAATAAAAGTTGAATTCAACTCAACTGCCATTGTCCTTTTCCAGATTGGGAGTCGTTGCTGCCATCTGGCGTTTAAAAAGTGCAATTACATCAACAAACAAGTTCCTTTTCTTATCCATTTTAGTTTGTAGATGGCTGGGTACTTTCTTCTTTTCCCACCTCTATTGCATTTCTTGTAAAGAGCATCAATGTGCGGTCCCATGCTGTGCTGCCAAAGCTGCGCACCAGCTTCATGCCGCAATTTCTCACCAGATGGTCCCTTGCGTGCTCCTCCATGTCCCCGCGGATCTTCAATGTTTTGAAATGTTCGAAATCTCCTCTGCCCAGCTTGCGCAATCGGCGTGCTGCCGAGCGGTAACATTTCCATGGCTGGGTTTCCAGAAGCAGGTGATGGCAGAGGGAGGCCAGGCGGGAGAGGAGTTCTAGCAGCGCCTCGTCGCCATGGTTCAGGTGCACCCACATGGTGACCGCCAAGCACAGGCACAGGTCAAAGCTGGAACGACCAAACTTGCTCAAGTAGCTCCCGAGCTGCGTCCGACTGTGTTCATCATTGGCGACATCAAGATGGATAAAGGAAATGCTATTGGGGAAAGGATTAGACTGCTCTGCTCGCAAAATTAGCCCTTCGTCCAAGTCACAGCCGAGCAGGTGTACCCACCCCTCTGCCGTACGACTACTGGACTCTTGTTCCTGAAGATGTCGATACAGCGCCACGGTAAAGTCCTGAGCAATCAACAAAATAAAATTATTATATCCACAACATAAAAAAACAAGTATACCAAACATATACTAAGCAGACACACGCATAGTTGTAAGTTTACAATAGGCTCATTATCATATGACAATTATATTAGGCCACGGCAATCGGCAATTGATATGTTTGTCGTATAAAACACAATTCACGTGGGGAAAAAACTCACCCCAGAATTACATCCAACATCAAGCACGGTTATGTTTTCACTAGTTTCAGAACTATATCCTATATCCCGTAGTAACGTACGTGGTATTAGGGTTAAACGATTTTCCGGGGGGTTGAACGTGTAGTAATTTATGAAATTTCCATATGGTGCCGCTCCGGGATCACTGCCCTCACGCTGCACGGTCGACGCCATTTTTGTCCGGCGATAAAAAAATTTCCGGGTGGAAAATTTCACTCCGGAAGGAGTTACACCCATTCCCCAGAAAGAAGTTCAAAATTCGCTGAAAGATAATATGTACTTGCATTTTGATTCCAAGCTGTTCAAACGCCCAAAACGAAGGAATTAAATCTGCTATAACTGTAAAAGAAATATCTAATATGTCCGGTAATATTCGGACTGAAAAGTCTTACTGGGTGACCACTGTCAGTTAGTAGTCATGTTTTTATGTCTTCTTATTATATTATAAATGCATAATAAAAATGCTTTTTTTATCTGAAAGTTTCCAGCACCTCAAAGTGTAACATAAAAGTACAAAGAATTGTACAAACCAAGGGAAAGAAAAGTTATTGGCCCGTACGGGGATCGAACCCGCGACCTTGGCGTTATTAGCACCACGCTCTAACCAACTGAGCTAACCGGCCATCTCGTAAATAAGTGTCTATTTAACATTTACATAATAAGATGTTATTATATAATGTTAATATGCAGATGTCCATTTGGAGGTTCTGAGATTTAAGGCATTGATGTTAAAACATCTGAGCGAAAGACGTCATTCGAGTCTCATTCGGATTCATTCCCCGGCTTCAGCTTCAGCCCGAATCCAAACGAGGTCCGAATGATTTTGTAAGAACCAGAGCTAAGCCACAAATCCCCGCTACGCGTCTGGTAATAAGTAATTAAATTTCTTTCTTTTCATTCACAGGAATTATTTGAAATAAACCTGTGAATTTATTCTTGAGGTCTAAGCAGTGACTCGCACTAAAATCTAAAATCACCACTGTAATGAACCATTTAAACATTGCGGTTGCTGAGTGAGGATGAAGTATGTTCCTTCGCAGTACCCGTATTTTGGCATTGTCTTCTTCGTTTGCGTTCTTACCCTGATATTGACTGTGAAGATCATTAACACCTTTTTTTGATAATTGAGGTAAAGTGTAATACTGTAAAAACACTTTGTAATTGGTTTGACTTTGATTTGACAGTAACTTTATTTTTTAAGAAAAACTTACAAACTTGAAGACTTGCTAGCAGACATCCCAACCTGCAAAAACTCATTTCAGGGAGGTCCCCCCCCCCGCCAAGAAGGGAAATTACTTTATTTCACACAAGAGAATTTCTACATTGGCCATATGTATAATTTTTTGTTAATTAATTTTTTCTAGTCAGCACACTAAATTTCGAAGGCTCCACTGAACCGATAACGTCGGTCCTCGAGAAGTTAAATAAAAGCCGGCCCGCACTGAAATCTGATTGGCTTATTTTGCTAAGTAGACCAATCAGGATGCTGTCTGTCTAGCACGGGCTACATGAACAGGCACACACGCAGGGATCCATACATACGCACGCTCTCTCTCTCAATCTCTCTCTATCACATTCCGTCGTGCGCGCGATTTTGTGAAGTGCGCGATGGACACGTTACTGTCTCGCGCGTATGCTCTTGTGTGCTTGCTCTAGTTTCCGGGACATTTTATTCAATTTGCGGGCATCAGGGAGCCGCTATCAATATGCGGGAGACTCCCGGAACTTCCGGGAGACTTGGGATGTCTGCTTGCTAGCCACTTAGCATTTGTGGCGACTTTGCTAAGGGAGAAGGAAGTGGTCATATGCGGTGATTAACACTGGCAGGATTTCTTGCCACTTGCGCGTAGTATCACATCTTCTGGGTCTCGTTTTTTTATCTATTCGTTTATAGCTATCCGTAGGTTCCTGTGAATTACATATGAATCTTTCAAACACTTGGCTAACTGGTTTATTACAGTTGGTTGTGTCAATGACCAGGGGCTTTGCTGGAGATTTTGGGCCCTATGAAGGGATATTATATTTGGCCCCCCAGTCCAGACCAATCCAGTTATTTTACAAATTTTTTAGGCCCCTGTCACTCAGGGGCCCTTGGAATCGTCCTAACTTTCCCCCACCTTAAGGGGCCCCTGTTCATGACTACAGTTAATATTATGTAAACAATTAAATTGCTTATCTGGGAACATTACTATATGCATTAATTTTAAAAGTGTGCATCAAATGATGTTTTGAAGAAGGGCATATACAGTAGATATAAAATGTGTGCACATCCCTGTCAAAATGTCAGGTTTTTGTGATATAAAAAATAAGATCACAATAAATCATTTCAAAATGTTTCCCACCTTTAATTTGACTTATAACCTGTACAGTTCAATTGAAAAACAAACAAATCTGTTACGGGGAAAGATATAAAAAATAAAAAAACATACAATAAGTTGGTTGCATATGTGTGCACACCCATAAACTAATACTTTGTTGAAGCACCTTTTGATTTAACTACAGCATTCAGTCTTTTTGGGTACACAGCTGCCATCAATTAAAGTAACTCTGATGAACCTCAAATAAAGTTCTGCTGTCCTAGTCGGATTTTCCTAACATTTACTCTGTTACATCCTACAGCAAAAGCCATGGTTCACAGAGAGCTTACAAAGCATCAAAGGGATCTCAATGTTGACAGGTATCAGTCAGGAGAAGGGTACAAAAAATTTCCATGGCATTAGATGTACCATGGAACACAGTGAAAACAGTCATTATAAGAAGTGGAGAAAGTATGGGACAACAGTGACGTTACTGAGAACTGGACATCCATCCAAAATTGATGAAAAGACAAGAGGAAAACTGGTCAGGGAGGCTGTCAAGAGGCCTACAGCAACACTGAAGGAGCTGTAGGATTTTCTGGCAAGTACTGGTTGTGTACTACATGTGACAACAATCTCCCATATTCTCCACATATCTGGACTGTGGGATAGAGTTGCAAGATGGAAACCTTTTCTTACAAAGAAAAACATCCAGGTCCAGCTGAATTTTGTGAAAAAAAAAATACATCAGGTCTCCCAAAAGCAAGGAGGGAAATGTGTTATGGTCTGGTGAAACCAAGGTTTGACTTTTTGGCCACAATTCCAAAAGGTTTGTTTGGTGCAAAAACAACACTGCGCATCACCAAAAGAACACCATACTGTAGGATCACACACACACACCCCCAGCCAAGACACATCCGGGTAACAAGACGAGGGAAAGACTAACATTTCAAGTTATATTATTTGGAGATCTGGGGAGCCCTGGAAGGAGAGCGATGTATCCCCACCCTGGTCCGAAGATGGCACATTTCATGAAACATACTTTTCAACATTACAAGTGCATTTCTCAAAACAGTTCATGCATATAGCACAACACTGTAGTTTAGCTGCAAAAGCCTGTAACAATTACCTTGTCTTAAAAGCAAATCATTCCACCAATGAATTTGTCAGTGTCACCAAAATGAAAAGTACAATCAGCATCATTTTAACCATGAGTCAAAAAGTTTAGATAAATTGTCAAAATGTCAGTGTAAGCATGCCCCTGAGCTCCACAATGCTGAATGATTGTCCATTCCCACTTTCTCATTGTCATTTTTCATTAGTAAAGTTCATACGTGTGAGCTAATAGTATCATTCGAATCTCATTCGGATTAATTGCGGGACTGAGCTTCAGCCAGGAATGAATCCAAACGAGGCCCGAAGGATTTTGTAAGAACCAAGAATAAGCCCGAATGCCCCGCGACCCGTCTGGTAATAAATTTCTTTCTTTTCATTCCCAGGAAGTATTGGAAATAAACTTGTGAATTTATGATTGGCACTAAACTCTAAATCACCACTGTAGGGAACCTTTTAAAAGTTTTTGCTGGCAACAACCAGATGCTCTTGGTATTGCAAAGTGTGTCCCTTCGGAGTACCCGTATTTTAACATCGCATTTCCGCCGTGGGCTGCGTCTTGTGTTTGCGTTCACCCTGACATTGACTGTGAAGATCATTAACGCCTTTTTTGATAATAGAGGTAAAGTGTAATACTGTAAAAATACTCTGTAATTGGTCATTAGTGTGGCGTGCACTTTGATTTGACAGTAATTCTATTTTAAAAAATAAAACACTACTTGAAAACTTGCTAGCCACTTAGCATTTGTGGCGACTTTGCTAAGGGAGAAGGTAGTGGTCATATGCGGTGATTAACACTGGCAGGATTTCTTGTCACTTACGGGTAGCATCACATCTTCTGGGCCTCGTTTTTTATCTATTCGTTTATAGCTATCCGTAGGTTCCTGTGAATTACGTATGAATCTTTGAAACATTCGGCTAACTGGTTTGTTACAGTTGGCTGTATTCATGACTATGGTCAATATTATGTAAGCAATTAAATCATTTATTTGGAAACATCACTATAAAGTTAGCACTTGCATTGTATTTTAAAATAGAAGCCGTGTGCATTGAATGACATTTTGAAGACGCGTATATAGCCTCTTCATGGCGACATACGTCGTTGGTGGGCTGATAAGTTTGAGATATATTGATTGCTCATGAATGCAGACCTTCACCCGATCTGTATCTAAAGACTGGAATGATAGTTCAGCTAATCACACTGCAATGCAGCAGAGTCATCTAGCTTAATGTAACATAGTGGTTCTCAATGTTGTTCCTGGCACCCCCCTCCCTGCCCGAATGTTTTCATTCCAGCTCTACTTTAATCAGGCTCATATGGTCCTTATTAGGCTAAAAAATGAATGTGGCGGGTTGAAAGCATCGAGTTGTAATGAAAACATAACAATATCCTATGATCGTGTATTACGTGTCGCATAGGGACATTCATGTTTCATTGGCTTCTGCTGTTAGACTCGCTAATTGATGCTTAGATGGAAGGAGTGTGTGCTTATATTGTGATATGAATGCCATACCTGAATATGATTGGCACTGCCTGTTAGATTGTCCTGTGCCACTTGTTTAAAATTCCGTTTGTCGTCGGTAGGAGCGTCACCATGGTTACGGCAAAGAGGCTGGCGGACGTGGGGTACCGCGTGTTCTCGGGCTCCATGATGCTGCTGACGGTCTATGGCGGCTACCTGTGTGTTCTGCGAGGATACCGCTACATGCAGAAGGAAAAGGCGCTCCGTTCCGCGGCAGAGAACCAGACGGAATCGGACTGAGACGCCCAACGTCGACCTGCACAATCTGTGTAAATGTATTATTATTTTTTTTTTTGCATGTTTTTACTTTGCCTCTGTAAAGGTAGAGTCAGACATGAACTCTCTTGGGCAAATATCGAGAAGTAAAGAGTGAAGCCGTTTGTACAATAGCCAAGCTCTCAGGATCTTTGTGAAGATGTACCAGTAACCATGGACTTCAGTGGATGTTCAAAATGAGTGTATAGCAGGAGAGCATAAGGACCTAAATAAAATTAGATTGATAAAGGTGGCATTTAGTTTAATGTGTTTAATCCATAACAAAAGCTCTCACACAGGGGTGACAGCATTAAAAATATTATTTTAAGATGTGGACCAGCAACATACACGTCCAGGTTGATATTTAAGAAAAATATCGACATGGTATGTATTAATCAAGATCATCCTCCTCCAGCAAAGCCAGTGTCTGCTGGATTTAAAATAAAAAAAAAAAAACACAAAGAACATAAATTAGCAGTTGATTATCATGCAGTGAGGTGACATCCCCATCCAAAGGTTGATAATATTGAAAACAATTATGAAGCGAGGTAGGACAAAAAGCCAACATGCCCAGAGTCAATCCAGCTCTGCAGTTACTCATCAGTAATGCACATCATGTTGATTGACACGAACACATTCAGATCTTACTAAAGCAACATGGGAATTTACTTTTCGAAACTGAGATTTGACCCAAGCAAGAATTACAATATTAAACATTTTAATAACCTTGTGCTGAAAAAGACAAAACGAAGACGACAGCATCATAATAATAATAATAATAATAAAAAAAACTCAAGTACATTTGACCAATAAGAGGGAGGAAATCCCCCCTGACTTCAGTAAAAAGTGAAGTGAGAGACGACATCAATTCATTTTTCATTTTTGGGAAATGTCCTTCCTTTTTTTGGTTTCCACAGCTATCTTTAACCTCATTGCCTTTGCACCCATCCTTTTTGTCCATTGTTGTACTCCATGCATTCTTTTTTTCAGTCTTGAAATTGTGATAGAGGGGTGGGTAGAGGTTTAAAGTGTTCAATGAGGCTCAGGACTGTCGAATAGAGGGAGGCACCGACATGGAGAGAAGGTGTTTCGTCCGAGGATCCACTGGAAGGGAGGTGTGCTCTGCCTCACTGCTCCCCCCAGGAGCCATGGTCCTGTGCCCACGCGGCCGTGACGGAGTGGCCATTGGTTCCGTTCTCGCCCTTGGGCGACGGAACTGTCTTGTCCTTAGTGATCTCTGTTTCCTCCTCTGAGCTGCTCTCTATGTCACTGCGGTCATCCTTAGATACCTGTCAGCAGTAGGGGAAAGGTTAAAATAACAAGGGAGACCTGATGTGAGAGCGCCATACCAAAAGGGAAAAAAACTATTCTGCTTTTTTTTTTTTAATATGAATCGGTTAAAAGAATCACAGCAGGGGTAATAAGTTGACAACTGCTGGGGGAATATACACCAAATATATGGAATGGAGGGGGGTGTGATCAGTTCTCAGAACTACTGCTCTAAGGGACTGCACAACAATATTCATATACAACATATATTACTGATGAATTTTTTGGCCAAATTCAAATCAGACCTGTACAATTTAACAATGCTTTCAAAGGCATGTGTTTTTTGGGTTACAATCCCATTTTTTGGTTAAATACAAAAAAAAAAAAAATCTATCCTGTGTCACAAAGCATACAAATCTTTAAATACACCCCGATGAGAAACCTGTATTTAGAATAAATTAAGATTGTGGGCATTATTAATCACAAAGAAATACAAGATGTTCTAATCTTCCAGTATAAAAATAGGACCATAAAAACCATAAACCATCACTGTACTTCTCCCTAAAATATCACCTGGCATTGTTTGTGGGAAAAATGGCTAGGCCATGGGGCAGGGTTGCTAGGAGACGTGACCTCATACTGTACAAACATAAAATTCCTAGCCAGTGTGATTTCTGCCACAAGGTGGAGTTGTACCATTAGTGACAGCTGGCTAGGTGCTTCAGCGTTGAAGCAGGGGAAGGCAACAATGTGAAGTGAGAAAGCTTTTTTTTTTTTTTTTTTTTTTTAAAAAAAAAAAAAAACACAATTAGCCAGTTACAGCTGGTGATCTAGAACGTCAGAGGAGTGGAAGCACAGAGGGTCAAACTTACAGCAGGGCAAAAGGCAGAAGCGAATGCTTTAGGCTCCCCGAGACCAAGAGAGAGAGAGAGTGCCAGAGCTAAAGGAAGAGCGAGTGAGGACAGGTCTCAGATAAGAGACAGAGACAGAATCCTTGCACCATCGGGGAGGGAAAGGGAAGGGAGACCCCTCTCTGTGGAGAAAGAGCAGGCAAGAAGGAGAGAAGGTGAAACACCACACGGAGATTAGCAAGAAATTGGACAACAATAAGCAAGTGTTTTAGGTGTAATAAAATACTCTATCTTGTGTAACTTATGAGAAATTATACTATTTACTCAAACTGACCCATAGCCAAAACCCTCAGGAAAACCTGCTTCCTGACCAGCAGATTACTACTGAAGTGAGCAGACTGCCGCCCAGTATTAATTTCCTAAAGAAATCAGAGCCACGATGAGGAGCGGACATGTGGAGACGGAACGTTCCGACACGCTGAGGCATTACCTTTCCACGCAGCATGGCTTTGAAGGCGATGCGTGCGATGAGGTACGACCAGATGATGTGCAGGACCTGGAGGACGAGCAGCAGCCCGTTGAAGAGCCACCAGGATGGGTAAGGACCGACGATGGCCCAGCTCTCGAAGAGGGTGGTGTTTAGGATCCTGCAGCACAGACGAGAGTCAGCAGCTGTGGAGGTGCTCTCCAGAAGGACTACGTCCGAATGTAACCTCATTAATATCTGTATTAAAGCTGACTTCAATCTACATCTTCAATCCACTCATTCCTTTTACATAGTGCCCCATGCTCAACCCAACGCATGCTCTAAACGGTTGCCATCCTTCCTGTCGACAAATTTTACCATCCACCCCCAACCCCAGCACTCGACAAATTTCATTGTGAGTTTGGGTTTCGACTCATTGACCAATAGGGTGTGACGCAAAACCATTTAAGATGCTCTGTTCTAAGCCTTGATGTCTTACTCTGTAAAGATTATCACCGAGACATTGACAACTCCCCAAAACACTACCACTAATCTCTTTCACCTTCCCTTCCCTAAAAACATGCATCATCATCTTCCTGTAAATTACTGCATAATTATAATCAAGCCCTCCTTAGTTCTGAAATTGTGTCAGTCACATCTATTTCAGTTAATCGGACTGCATTAATTTGCAATGCATTTAATTTCAAATTAAGTGGGGGAAAAAAAGTCACGGCTCCTTGTGTTTCCTGTAATTTGCCATTTAAAAGTCCATTTGGGAGTAAATTAATAAATTAGTAAGCTAGTGAGCTAGTGGGGATGTGCTGAGTCTCAGGTTAGCTGTGTGATTGTGTGACACCCCCTCACCCCCCCGCAGAGATGGATTTCAGTCCGTCGCAGCTGCACGATCTTCAGCCTAAACCCAACCCGGACAGCAAGCGCAGCTGCTCAGGTTACTGCCATTCTGGCTATTGCACCTTCCCCTGTCTCGCTAATGACACAAACTTCAGAAACACACACACATTCGCCTGCTGAACAGTCTGCCCCCTCCCAGTCTTTAGACTAAAAATTCAAGACTCATAACTCTGAAACTACACCTACTTATCGCACATTTTTCCTCCATGCCAGTTTGCACAATATTTCCCAACCAATTAGGTAGTTAAGTATATTTCTTGCCTATGTTGTAATGTTTGTGTGTTGATATTTATTTTCTATTTATTACTTTTTCATTTAGTGACTTATGAGAATGACATTTCACCTCAGTATACGACTCTGTGCATTAGATATATGACGTCAACAATAAATGATATTTGGACACACAGTGGCCGCTCTCACCAAAATGGGTAGATGACAAGTCGTGTGGTGACGAAGACCATGCCGAACAACACGAAGAGTGAGTCACAGAGCCGCTGGTACTTAGCATAGTTAGCCAGCTTAGCAGACTGACAAGGAGAACAAGGGGGGGGGAGATTGTATATCACTGAGACATGAAACTGTCATTCTGCAAAGTTAGAACAAATAAACTGAGAATTATTTGTGAGAGCTAGTGGATTTCTGAGGCAGCGGAAGACCTCTCACCTCCAGAAGGAAGTCCGAGGCATCGTGCACACACATGACCAGGGTCCCCACTCGTACCATGTTATTGACATAAGAGAAACTGATCAAGCTGACTGTTGCCAGGTGATGGATGAACATGATGAGGAAATCCTGTGATGGGCAGAGGGGAGAACAGAGAATGACATCAACATTCAAGTCAACGGGTAGTTAATTACTAAGCATGAACAGGTTCTGGGGCACGTTTTTGTCCCTAATGAACAGTTCTCCTACAAAACAACCCAACCAACCAGTTTTGTACTTGTCAGTGCTGATGTGGGAGGGGCTTCATTGTGCTTGGTGAACAGCGAACCTGTGTTTCTAACACAGGAGCACTTTGTCCTTCATTCTGTAAGTAAATAATCGTACAGTTCTTTCCTGCTTCACATGCACTTTTATTTGGACCCCAAGAGAAGGGGAAATATTTATCTGACATTGTCCTACAGTTTCTGTAGGGCATAACGCTCGTTTCATTTACAAATTGTATGTTTTCTTTGAAATGCAAGAACTAATATTTATCCAGAGAGCAGCATCACTGACAGTCATTTCCCTTAACTGGCACTTCCTCTTCCCAAGAGCAAAAACACAAAGTTCAATGGAACATCTGAGAGAAGCGCTTTTAAACACTGCACCCTCTCTATGGGAACGCTAACTGACTTTGTCCCTCATCCGTTTCTAATCTGCATCATTCTATAGTTAACATCCAAAGTATCGGATAACAATTGAGCAGTGAGCGTGAGATGCCAGCTCATAGGCCCGTGTGCACTAAACCACACAGCAGAAAGGGGGGGGGGGGGGCAGCCACAGGTAACCCAGCCCAGAGAAGTGGCTTTTGCAAAGCAACAGCGATTACCTGCTCACTTTAGCCACGCAGCTTTGGGCATGGACTAAATAAGCAATTTCTGGGATAAGCACCACCGGATAAAGGAAACATCAGGACACCATCGCAAAAACACCCAGCCCTCCATCTTAAGCAGACAGAAAAAGCATCCCCCAGAGGTGCTGTCCCATAATCTGCCTGCAGGGGGCAGTTACCCATCTCACCTTCCTCTTGATGTCTCTGAACTGGGAAAACAT